AGTTCCAGAGACTCAAGGCAAGAAAAGGCAACACAGGTTAGTTAGAGAAACATTTGACCGGCTACCTCTGGCGAATGATGCAAGCCAAATTCATCACGAAGAAGCCATACAAAAAGCTGAAGCCTTCAGGTGAAAACCTACCGAGATTATATGACCTGCCTAAAGTTCACAAAAAAGGCGCCCCAATGCGCCCAATCTTGAACATGTTGGGTTCGCCCCAGCATTTGTTGGCCCAGTGAATGGTGGCGAAGCTGCAGGCGTTACGGATTTTGATTTACACTCACTGCTTGAAAGACACTTTTGAATTCATTGATAGGCTATCTGAAATCAATCTTGATAACAAAAGGATGATATCATTCGATGCCCAGTCGCTGTTCACAAGCAGTCCACTGCTAGAAACCATAGATTACGTATGACAGTTTGCTCGGCAACTGCCAATATACGCAATTTTTACGGAGAATTCGCTAAAGGAGTTGCTACTTAGTTGCACGTTAAATGTTCAGTTCACGTTCAGTGATGAAATGTACCATCAGATTGGCGGAGTGGCCATGGCACCTCCTTTGGGGCCACTGCTGGCTGATATTTTCGTGGCGAAATTGGAACATGGCCCACTTGCAACGCACATACATGGAACCGAAATGTACGTACTGTATGTTGACGACACCCTCGTAACTTTCAAATCCGAAAAGCATGCGAAACAGTTGCTGAAAGCTTTCAATGACGCACACGCGAATCTTTACTTCATTGTAATCACGATTTCGGAAACCGGTTACCTTTCTTGGATGAAGAGGTTATCTGTAACTCGGACGGACCATGCAGCAGGAAGGTACACAGAAAGCACACATGGACGGGGCAGTACACTAACCTCCACAGCGCAGTAACTCTACATACCTCTCGTCTTCAGGGCCCGCGGTATTTTTACACTTGATACCGTCAATAAAGAACCGCAGAGAATCAGCGACACCCTAAGGGAACTGGTAATCGCGATAAATATTTCCTGAAGCATTTAAAGAAACACAATCGTAGTCACCTAGGAGCATTGCTCCTAAGAAGGCGCTTTCATACCTATACAATTTAAGGACGATTCTGCAGCTGATATCATATCCCGACGCATGAAAGATGCTGTTGTGAAAACTTATTTCGCGGCCCACCTGCGAATTGTTTGTCACAACAAGCCGTTGCTTACAAAACGCTCGGAGGACGGACTGACTTTCAATGATTGTTTATCAGTACTCGAGCTCCTGTGGTGCACTATACGTGAATTCCACGACCAGGCGCCTATTTCAGATGATTCGTGAACACATCCGGGCATGGTTCTACAAAGGCGAAATGAGGTTCACCGGCAGCTCAACCATGTCGCATTTCCTAGAATGTGGTCATACAGCTTCAGAGAATTACTTCAAATAAATGAGAATATCCGTAGCTCGGGGTGTGGATGCGGATTTTGAGCTGTTCTCCGAGCTGAGTGATTATTGTGCAGATGTTTCGTTACCTGTCTGGGTAACATCAGCAGTGCGGCTACAGGGGCCTGGTTCGCAGTGCCTCGTAATGGATTTGGATATTGATGTCGCTTACGAGGCACTGCGAACCAGGTCCCTGAAGCCGCACTGATTATGTTGCCTAGTCTGGCAATGAAAAGTCTGCACAATAATCACTCAGCTCGGAGAACAGCTCAAAATCCACAATGACTTCATCCATCTGCTCTCTACCTGAACCCTTCTCCCAAGGATTCCGCAAACAGCTCTAATCCATCGCTGAGGCTATCTACATTCATCCTCTGAAGCCGGAATTTTATGTACAATAACGATTCATACGGCCGATACTGCTACCTTAGCCAACGGACACTGTCAGTTATTTGGTTGTTCCGTTACCTAATTAATTACTTCGGACTACCGAGCATTGGATACATGTTTATTTAGTTCACTTGGCATGCCATCTATATCCCTGTCTCAAGTTATCGATTTTGATCATTCAAACTGCCCAGAAGTCAATCCCAGCCCGAGTAGACGGTTTCCCTAAAATCAGTGCTATGTAAACTTTTGGGTCTGATCAGAGTTTACCGAAAAGCGTTCTTTACCCTTAATTGATTTTTGATACTGGGTCCTTAGTTGTTGCTGTCTTTGTTTTTGTGAAATTTTGTTTGTCTCTGTCAATCTTGCTCATCACGCGGCCCTGTTCTTTCTCTCTACTGGTTAAGGTCCCCTTATGTCCAAATCGCTCAGGGTCTTACCTTTCTACCAACTGAAATGCCCAGCCACAATTTATTTGTAGGTTATGTGCGGTAGCCACAGCATAATTTAAAATCCATTCAAGCCACCCAGGTACCTAGCATCAGTAATAACTTCGTTCTTTCTGGCAGAGCTCTCATTTTATTCTGTTACTACGTTGGTCATATACAATTGCCTTGGATAACATGCTATATCCTCTCTCTGGAAAGAACAGTGAAAACTGAATACTAAAATTGGATAGCGGGTAGACAAACATCTATGTTTCCCCATCCAAACTTGATCAGTCATGTTTGAGTAATATCGTCGACAATTCCTCCTTGATCCTTTGTTCCATTATTGAGCCCAGATCCTCTGTATTTCTGATAGTTTAGTGAGATGTTTATTGTTTCGGATCCGATACTATTTTATGGTTCATATCCCGTTTTTCCAGGCTTCATTGTATCTAATGTGAAAAACAGTGGACGCTGAATATCAATTTCGATAGAGGCTGCACACACTCTACTCAGTTCAGACCCAAGGCCATTTGAAAGCACGGAAGCAAAGTGCGCCACTAATTCGGAGGCAAGCTCACTGCTGGAATTTAGAGCTTGTTTTCCTGAGTCCTGCAAGCTTTAGGTGCTTCTTAACGTAGGCAAGAATCTTCTTGAGTGCCTTGCTTACTGCGGCTTTGAGCTAATCTTGGAACTCTGACACAAATTTCGATTCTATTTGTACGGCTCATAATGGTCGACTGAGCCAAACAGAAAGAACTCTTTCCGTTGTAGGAGTCGACTTGACGCCGACTATATGTAGTTCTTTTCGAACCTATGTGACTTCATTTGTCCAACTTTCCGATGCTTAGAAGAGCTCAAATCGAGTGCGCAATGATTTTACAAACTCTTTCATCGTAGACAAACTTGTTTTAACAGTGAGGTGGTGCAGAAGCAACCAGCGCACTTGACAAGCGGCACAAGTTAGACCATCGAAGTTAGTTTTTCAGTCGTTGTAGTACTGCTGCAGCAGATGCAGTAGCTTAGCACTAGGCGCAACTTATATTTTACAATCTGGAACTCAAATGGTCACTTGGTCAAAAGTGAGGACAGGCAAGATTACCTCGCCTTATTCTGGCAACCCATCTGGTCCATATTCACTATTGTCGCTAAAATCGAACATCGTGACTGCTATCCGCCCATGGGCCATTGTCTACTTTGAGGAGGCCACCTATCTATTATTGGATTGCAAATAGAAAATTGGTGAGTATTCATCCGATCAGGGCAATGCATTCCCCATGGCACTATCTCGGATACTCAGGGAAAAAGAAGTTCAACTGTATACCACTAAACGGTGCAGCATCCACCAAATCAAGAACCTTTACACTATGATCAGTGCGTAAGGCTTCGTGTCTCACATCGAAACGGAGCCGAAGAGCATTTCCTATGCTTTAGTATCTGCAGTTACTACTGCTACTGTCACAAGCAGGTCGATTATCGCCATCCTCACTACTTGGTGTAGATCTTGCTTGCCAAGTTCATGCGTTTAAATATTCGCCAAATCCGTTGCATAAATAGGATAGAAGTCAACTGTAGTAATATAAAAACAAAACACGTGACTAATGGATGCAACCGCATGGCAGCTCATATTGCAACCAACTCGGTGGCACTTAATACCGGAGGAGGCCAACACATTTGACTCACAGTCATCCAGGATTAAGGTTCTCCTTCCTCCCTAGTTAACATCTGATCCAACCAGTTCTAAGGTACTAAGCTGAATGCAATCATGATGGTCACTGCTGATAGTCAGTTACGAACGGATTCGCAATTTGTGCATAAGAAGCGAAGCGGTCGACAACACACCGATTATGGTTATGAGTATGTGTGAGGGAAGTGTCGAGACAATGAACAATGTTTCAAGGCGGGCAACAATGCGATTGTTTGGCCATCCCGTAGGATGAACAAGGTGCGGATAATAAAACCAAGGACTAAAAACTTGGAAAACGGGGCAAATTGTATTTTACACTACTAACCAAGCTAATCCCCTGAACATTGATGTAGGTTTCCTTCCCGTTTTGTTACAGAAAATGCTGGTGGGCACATAGTTTTGTTGGAGCTATTTCGTCTTCTGAGTGAAGCGGACTATATCACCTAATCTAAGGGGTAGAGTGTGCCGTAAAAACACTTGGCTTCTAAGCCCAGAAGTTACTGTAGCCAAATTTCGCCCCAAATAGCACCTGTTAGACTCGTGGAGGAATTCAAGATTTTATATCTCCAGCAATTTTAATTCATTCGCAAATTAACCACAATAAATTCACTCAATACGGAACTATACATCACATGCACTAACAGTCTTTGACTGTTGCACAACATTTTGTTTTTCCAAAATCATCATTTGCGCTGCGATGTCTTGAGGGTGGCGTCTGTTCTCTCCACAATATCATGATTTGGCTGTTACTCTAAAGCAACATTTAGTCAGTACTATACCAATGCTATGTGGTTACGTTTCGTGACGTCCTTCGAAGATGTGAAACCCAAAATTTCGGTACAGCTACATTACCGCAAACATGTGACTCCAAAACTATATCATCGTATGTATTCTACCAGCACTTCATTTGTACTTCATATCTGTTGAAACTCCTTTTGATGCATGAATCTCTCATACCTCAATACATAGATGGATCATATTAAACCGAAATGAATAAATCAGACCTTTTATACTAGGGTCATTCGTTTAAACATTTAGTACATATCATCACATGACAGAACTAAGACGACAATTTGCGTGACTTCGTAAACTCACGCATTATGGAGAGAGCTGGATGACGAATTGTGCTGGTGAAAAGAAATTTATCGCACCTCCTTGCCCAGGTATGCTGAACGTGAATGGCCTTCTTTTCATAATTTGACGGATGGGTATTAATGTAGCACAATAATTTATGTCTTGCTTGGTTTGGAATTGAAGTCATCTGATATCGACATTTGTGATTCCAACGCTTAACAATCACGTAGTAAGGTGATTTGAGAAGGTGACCAGCGATTATTCCGGCCAAGAGCAGCAAGAAACTCCGTATCGAAGGGAACAATATATGCATTTGGTAGATTGGGAGAGTGGATGACAGCCGTCAAATGTTCTGAGATTCTTTTGCTACGTTTTTTGAACACGAGATTGATATAAAATAACTGAATGAAATGCAGTTGTCCTACCTACTAACTTGTCTAGTAATGTGCAAAGGAATTTGGTTGTAGCCTTGTAAGACATTGTTATCCAATAACGGGGTTCGCTTAGAAAACACGATGATTGGTTCAAACTATTAACCAATACCTGCGAACCGGACATTCACCACAGTGGTCTGTGACGTAATGCCACGGTGTGACTCGTAGCGTGCAGTGTACATGTTTATTTCATGATAGCCCAGTGCTGTCTCTTTTATCTTAGATACCGGTCTACTTCATTAAGATGGTCAGTAAAAACATTTAAATGTTATTTACTCAACACTGCCCTAAAGAAAGGGAAGTCAGAATGCTAGTTTACATGGCTCTGTAAAAGTAATCTCGGTAAAAGTGATCTCAGTATGTATACCTTACTAACAGTGCTGTTGACCGTGTTACTCACAAAACTTGGCAGTTAGGGTGAATTATATTATAAAGATTGCATGGGTCTGGACAGAGGTAAGGCAACGCTGACTACTGGCAACGCATGCTCCACAAAATAAGGCGTATAATTTTAAGGAATAGCTATTGGGTTTTGCTCACTTGCAACGCTGCACTCAACGATCCGTCTCATAGTCGGCAGCACTCAGCAGGTAATTAATCCGATTGCTCTCGAACACGATGGCCTTTGGAATATCACCCGAAACCCCTACCTTTAAGCCACTGAACCGCGGTGGACAACGCTAAAAGACACAGTAACCACGGATTAGTGAACAGTGAAGAATGAATTTATATGGGCTCAGAAGCAATGCCTTACATGTCCCGTTTGGTGGTTTTGCGGGGCTATCTAAAAATGAAAAATGCAGTGGGTTATTTTCTTGTAAAAGAGGGACTTATCGTTTATCTCACTGCAGTCCTGCAATCCGTGTAGTTTCACAGCACAAACATGTAACAGCAAATAAATGCAAGTATATTCCAGGAGTGGGAATAAGATGTAGTCCTAGGTAACAAAGTGTAGGTGAGTAAGTGAGTCTTCCAAACGTCTTTTACATATGGATAGTGATGGTGCAGAAATGGTCCATTCTGGAAGAGCATTCCAACGGGAACACACGCGGACGGAAAAGAAATTCCGTCGGCTGTACTGTTCTTCCAGTTTTAGTAAGTCACACCTCAAGTTGGTATTACTGCGGCGTTGCAGTAAAGTGCGGCACACATGATGTGAATCGTGCAGAATGAAGTACACCATTATCAAATCACTACGTAGGTGGCGGTAACATCCACTGAATACCCCCAATCGTTCCAGCATCTCCCTCTATGGAAGATAAATAAATAAATAAATAAATACTTTATTCTCGACTATGGTACAATCTAATTACGTGCTTTGATGCTCGGTGTTGGAGCTGCTCCAGTGTACTCAGGTCGTGTTTCAGCCATGGGTGCCAGGCTGGAATTGCATATGCGACATCCTTACGAACATACTCACTTAGTATCTGAAGGAAAATAGAGCTTTCTGTTTGAACGCCCGTCGCAACAGGCCCACATGTTGCCTACCAGTTTTGGAGGCTTTCGCAGATTGCCTGGAACAATCCAGATCATCCTGAACCAGTACGCCCAAATCACGTTCGGTGGCACCTCGCTGCAGCGCATGCGTTCCGAGACTGTAACAGTAGTTGCTCTGGTGTCGTATAGATAGCACCTTGCATTTACTCACATTGTATTGCAGTGAACTTTGTATAGACCACTGTGTATCCTGTTTAGATCACTCTGAAGCGGTTGCTGGTCAGTATTCCCCTGAATCTTGTGCCAAACCTTGACGTCATCGTCAAACAGCAGGAAGTTAGTTTTACTTACCTGTGTGAGGTCCTTGTTAATTACCAAAAAACAATCGAGGACCTAGCACCGAGACTTGAGGCGCACTACATTCAACTTGCATGAGGTCAGCAAAGGAGCTGCGAAATCTGACCACCAATTGCCGCTGAAGAAGATAGTTGGCGATCCATCTTAGAAGAAGGTCCCTGATTCTGCAACGCTGTAGCTTGGAAAGCAAAATGAGATGATTTATATGGTTGAATGCTTTCGAGAAATCCAAGTAGATCACAGCAACATCCTCTCCAGTGTCAGCTGATTGGGTCCAGCTGCTCCGTGCAATTAGCGAATTCCTTGTGCCTGATCGATTTTGACGGAAGCCGTGCTTTTCAGAACTAATAATGTTAGAATTTTCCAAATAACCCACCAACGCATTGGCCATCATGTATTCCATCACCCTGTACATCATAGGAAGAAGGGAAAGTGGACGGTAGTTTGTACCCTCGGTTCTGCTTCCACATTTCTGAATTGGTGGTATTATCACAAGCTTCCACATGCCATGAACGGGGTTCTGGTCTAAGCAGGGCTGAAAGAACTGAGCCAGTGCCTCTGTCAGATGACTTGCTAATGCTCCGAGTGTCTCTGGGCGAACAGTATCGACACCCGGGGACTTGTGTTTGCTTAGCTTGGTCAGCTTCTGCAAGCCAGCTTTGGTGATAAAGGAAATGTGACTGAGTTCCGGCGGCGGGGCAATAAAAGCTGAAGGACCTTCTGATGGTAATATCCTCTGGAAAGTGGAGGTATATGGCATCCGCCGTGCGTTTGCTGCTTCCGTAGCCGTTCGTGTTGGGCTATCAACCGTCGTGAGTGTCGGAAATCCTTGCCTCACCTTCTGTAGATCCTTGACGTGCTTATACAGCAGCTTGTGCTTGACGCTGAAAACTTTTGCCATGTTCTGCTGTTGCGTGGCTTTGTTCTCTCGGAACAGTTATGTGAAGCGGTTTCCTTGGGCTCCGTAGTTACCCAGACTTTCTGGTATTGCTATGCTGGGATGCGTACTGCCCGCTGCGTTGCGTACTGCCAGTGACTTTTAGACAGTATGTGATTGTGCAAAACAGCAGTACGCTTGGAGTGTAGCCGTTGGCATCACCTTTTGACCTATCCTACTGCTTTGAATGTAAATACGATGTCTAACGGGAACATAAATGAATTGGCCCTTCTACTTGAGGATCCCTCCTATTTTTTGCTGATGAGTTCAAGCTCGCTACCATGGGCGACAGGACTACGTTATCTAAGGATTTAGCTGCCATTCTTTCATGATCACACTCATGGGATTTATCCTTGAAAGCCAACATATGCGAAATCTTGACTGCTAGTGGTGAAGATGTACTGCATGCACCTGATGGGCCCCTGACACTGCAGCATGTTATTGAAGCACGGCGCAGTTAAGCACACTGCCGAAAAATCATGACAGAAGTTATTTCAACTCAGGAGGGCGCTGAGTTGTACCAAGCCATTGGTCTTTCTCCATTTGTATAATACTGTGTGTGTCTGTACATAATACTGTGTTCAGGCCTAGGCACCCTACCTGAAGCAGGATATCAAATGTATTGCAAATGTGCAGAGGCTAGTCACACAAATGATGGAAGACCGACTTGGGTTGCCATCAGAGGATCCATTAGCTTACTTATTAGTGTTCTCAGTGAGGAGACTCAGATTGAGAGGGAACCTGTAGAGACATTTCAAATCATGAAGAAGCTCAGTGGTCTCAGGTTCTTGATCTCTTTGAACTTGCTGCGTCTGACCGATTGCGCTCCGTTTATGAGCATACTACTTCGCAAATTGGTTGCGCCTAGCTCGAATAAATTTCCCTCTGCATTATTGGAGTGTTAAACGGTACAATAATATAAGCGATATCTGGACAAAAGTTGGTTCACCCTCCTCGCCGAATTTCTGTGTGTACTCATGACAGTAGCCTAATGGAAGTGTTCTTATTGTTCGCTCTTGCTCTTGTGTGTCTTTCTCTATCGTAGATACAAGAAGCAACTGTTAAATCGAACTACTGGGAGCTCTGTTTCGCATGCTGGCACACAAAACGGGGCGCTCGCTAAGCGAAAGATGGTTCCGTCCCTAGAACCCATCCTGCCTGTCTATAGCGAATGAATGAATTCAATTCCTTGACGTAAAAAGCGGAACAGGTGGTTGCAGTAACGAAAGAAAAGCCTTAGGACGTGCTTATCACTTCTTAAATAGTGACTAAACTCCGTTTTTAAGAACCGTGAAGGACGATTTGGGGGCAGGCTAGTGGTACAGCCTGTACCCAAAATCGGCTGTACATCTGAGGGTTTATGGCTTGCCAAAACGTTACAAATCCGAAGTTCCCTTGCGGCCTATAGTCAGTTGTATAGGGTCCCCGACCCATGGACTCGCTAGATATTTGGCAAGGCTGTTGCAGCGTCTAACAGGGTGAACGAGTACGTTCGTGAAAAACTCATAAGAGTTCCATCAAAAGATGGCAAGTCTCAAATTGGAACCCGTTGTTTTGAAGGTAAACTTCGATGTCACATCACTTCTCACCAGTGCACCCAAAGAAGAGGCACTAATAATAGCAAGGTGTTGTCTAAATGAAGAAGTCACACTGAGTGATCGATCGAAACTTACGGTTCCCCAGATAACCGAGGGTATGACATTGTGCCTTAACATGTCTTACTTCGTTTTTCAGTCTAAGCTGTGTAGTCAGGAACAAGGTCTTGCCATGAGATCGTAAATATCACCTGTACTGGTGGACTTGTATATGAAAGACTTCCAGAACAAGACTTTAACAAACAGCATTCACTCATCAGATGTTTGCTGGCGCTATGTAGACAACACCATTGTACTTGTCAAATGGGATAAGTATGACGATTTGCTTGATCACTTAAACTCCACTGATGAGAGAATATAGTTTACTATTGAGTTGGAATCTTGTAGAGGTACAATACCATTTCTTGACTGCCTGCTTCACAGGAATGGGGAAATTTAAAGACGACACCATATCGCAAGGCAACAGATACTGACGGCGTACTCCACTACACTTATGGTCATCGGAAACAGGTTTACGCTGGGATAGCCTCAGTACTGTCCACCAGGGCACAGACCCTGCACACGATGGAGGAGGACAAAATGGCTGCGCGGAAAGTGGCAATGAGCAAACTATTAATCATTAGTAATATTAGCAAATGATTACCCACGGTGGCTAGTCAAATGCCAATTGCATAAATTGCTAAACCGACAGTCAAAACCCACAACCGCGGGGATGGGGACGGTAGGAATTC